TATGTCGAAATCACATACTTTCCTATACGAGACTATAGACAAATATATTGATTGCTCGGGAACATACTTAGACAACTCGAGTCGTACCCAATTTTTTACAGATAAAAGTTTGACAAAATCGGTGAAGATTTAGACGTGCACATTTTGGATTTCTCAAACGTAAGTTATCAAAAATACTAATTTTACATTATTCCCATTCAAATTATACAAGAAGACGCCATTTTGAATTTTTATCTTGAGGCAAAATGCGCATGCTTGGCAGCCATGTTGGACTCCATTTCTGGCCAAGGTCTATTTCTAAATCTACTGGATGTGATAAAATACCGGCTAAAATTCGAAAATATTCTGCTTCTGTAATTACGCCATCTTTGACCAATCTGTTCAACTCTTCTATTGGGATGAGAATTTTCCCGTCCGAATGGAAAATTGCAAAGAGTTGTACCGCTTCATAAGAAGGGTTCACTCTCCGTTTTTGACAATTATAGGCCAATATCAATTTTGCCGGTTATTAGCAAAATATTTGAAAAGATCTTGTATGAGCAGTTATACGAATATTTTACCACCAACAATTTATTGTCTGAACAGCAGGTTGGGTTCAGGAGCTTTCATTCCACGTCCACTGCATTGCTAGATTGTACTGATGAGTGGTATGTTAATATGGATCGTGGTTTATATAATCTTGCCGTTTTTCTCGATTTAAAAAAGCATTTGACATGGTAAACCACGACATTTTACTGGCTAAACTAGAGTAATATGGTATTAAGAATACGCCTCTTATGCTTTTCAAATCTTACTTATCAGATCGATCTCAGCAATGTCAAGTAAATGGGGAACTTTCCACATTAAAATATCTAAAATATGGAGTTCCTCTGGGTTCAATTTTGGGTCCACTTCTGTTTTTAATTTATATCAATGGTTTACCGAACTGTTTACAACACTCTACAGCACGTATGTTCGCCGACGATACTATCATTACAGTGTCCGATAAATTAATTAAGGAAGCTGAGGTGGCCGTTAATGCTGATCTCAATAATATCAGAGAATGGCTTCTATCAAACAGGCTTTCTCTTAACCTTGTCAAAACGGAATATCTTTTGATTGGATCACGCCACAATATTAACGCGTTGGAAGAACAACCGCGTGTTTTTATTGGGGATGAACCAATTAAAGGGGTTCAAGTTACAAAATCTCTGGAGTCAAAATTGATCAATTTTTAACTTGGGACAGTCATATAGACCAAATTTCAGTCAGTTTATTATGGTCTTGTCCAACCCCATTTCGACTACTGTTGTGAAGTTTGGAATTCCATTAATAGAGGCCAGTCTGAACGACTACAAAAACTTCACAACAGATGTGTTAGAATTATAATGAACTTTAAAGATGAGCTTGAGCAATCTCAACTGGCCTTCGATCAATTAGGGTGGATAAGCTTGGAAGAAAGGCGAAAACATATTATGGCCCGTCTCGTGTTTGAGGTTGTCAATAATTTGGCACCATCGAGGTTCTCATCAATATTCCAGAATTCTAACCATATTCACAGTTATAATTTACGAGGTTCAAATTCGTCTCTTTTTCTGCCAGGACCAAATACCGAGTATGTCAGAAAATGTTTTCGATATAGTGGGGTTAAAATCTGGAATAGCATTCCTGAACAAGTAAGAAACAGCGAATCTTTAAATACTTTCAATATAAATTATATTTCCTCTGTTAAGTTAGTCTAACGAATTAGCTATTTGACTTTTTTGTACCATTTGTTTTGTAATATGTATTTGTATTCGTAGTTCTTAATATTCTTAGTGATTTTGTATTTTATATATTTTTGTTACATAATTTATCCACGCCCAATTGGAAAGCAGCTCCGGTTGAAGTGGCCAGCGTAGTCAAATAAAGTTTTATCTTATCTTATCTAATGATAAAATGGATGTTTATTCCCCATATCCCGAGCTCCCATGAGAATTGCATGAAATATTATTTCTGATATTAGCCAGCATGTTGTGTAACAAACAGGGGAAGATTTTTTACTTCGCAGCTGCAAAGGGGTCCCTTTTTGACAAAGTACAATTAAAGTAGCCTAGTACTAAATAAATCCACCCCTGATTTACAAAACATTCTGATACGCGGTGGTCATCATGCGGAGGTTCTCAGACTTGACCACACATTTTCAAATGTTGAAAGAATATGTTTCTGGTTCTTGGGGAAAATATAATGTTGTAAAATACTTTACTTCAATCAAAAGTTACAGTAGGAGGGCAAAGGTTTACTAGAACAGCGCTAACTTTAAACATTCTGTCAAGTGAGAGGAGGAGATTCTTATTTACAGCTACAAGTGTAAGCACTGGTAACTTTCTATCACGTGACGCACTATATATATATATATATATATATATATATATATATATATATATATATATATATATATATATATATATATATATATATATATATATATAT